GCTCGGCCAGGAGCATCCCGCTGTGACGGCCTCAGACTTGCTTCCCGCTCGCTTCAGCCGTCCCCTTCTCCACGAAGTATTCCTGGGCCACCCTTTCCCCATTTCTAAGTGGCACCTCCTCGGGACCCCCGTAAGCCCTACGCTTCCCACCCCATCAGCCCAAGCTGTGGCTCTGGGATCACAATTCCTTCTGCCTGTGTGCCAGTGGCAGCCTGAGAGGCTTGGGGTTGGCGGGCACAGGGGTCTTGGCTGCTAGGATAACACACACACACAGCGGACACATGCCTATCTGTCCCCAGCCCCCAAGTGCGGCCACACAGCCCAGCGACCGGGAAGAAGGAAAGAGAGGGTGCCGGGGTGGGGGCCGCGTTTCTGATGGGACCCTGGACTGGCGATTCCACTGGGCCCTTTCCAGCCTTCCGGGGTTCATCTAGCCTGGGAAGATCCACTATGCTACCACTAGAGAGGTGAGCAGGTGAGTCCGTGTGGGGAAGGCCAGTCCCAGGGCGCTGCAGTGTGCAACGACACATTTCCATCTTGGTGAGCAGGTTAAGGCTGGGCTGGAAGACTGCATGTGCACTGGGGCCATTTGGTACCAGGGATGAAACCACTGAGGTTGACAGGCAGCCCTCAGGGGTGTCTCACCCCCTCCCCAGATGCCAGGCAGGGCAACTCCTGGAGGTAACCAGTCTACATGACGGCCTCAAATCTAACCCAAATCCCTCCTGCTGCAGGGGAAGAAGCGGAGGGGTGGGTACCCGCCTTCACCTCCCACCCCTTCAAGCACCCACATTTTAAGGCAAAGGACCTGAGGCTCAGAGGGCCCTGCAGGGTCACACGGCTGGAAAGGGCAGAAGCAAGACTGAGCCCTGGCTTTCTCACCACTCCAGAATTCCAAGCAGCAACCCCTGCCCAAAACGGGGTCCTTGGATGACAAGCAGGGACTAAGGGGTCCTCTAGGCAGGGCCTGGCAGACAGCCTGAGGCAGGGGTACCCTGCCTGGGGAAGCCACCATCCACCAGGCTGCAGGTGGGCACCCTGGGGCTGGCTTGGACTCTGGCTTTGTGACTGTCCCCCTCAGGGCCACAGCAGCAGAACGGTCCCCTCTGCCTAGACCTGGGTCCCCAGGGCCAGAGGAGCCAAGGAAACGGTCCCAGGGTCCCTCTCCTCGGCCTCTGCAAAGAACTTCTCCCTCTAGGGGCCCACGGCCCGGCAACAGGGCCCTAGACACTAGGCAGAGACACTGACATGAGCCAGAGACGGGCCCAGGCAGGCAGCCTTGCATGAGGCCCCACTGGGGTCTGGATGTGCCGGTACCCACTCAGGGAGCCTGGGCAGGTGTCCACTGAGCCCGGGAGGCCCCACCAGCACAGCGGGGCCCTGTTCTCTGCCAGGCAGGGCTGTTGGGGATGGCCACAGGCCAGACCCCAAAGGAAAGTACATTACTAAGTAGCCTCAGAGAAAAACTGACCCCAAGCTTCAGTTTCCCCAGTAGGAATCACACGGGCTGCTGTGAGGCTGAGACTCAGTGGCATCTGGTGCCCACCAGCACACACAGGAGGCTGGCTCTCAAGAGGCATGGCATAGCCACACACCAGGTGTGTGCAGCCTCCTGCCTCCGAGGCTGGGCTAGCCCCCTCTAGAAGTGGCAAAGAGGGGCACAGAGAGGGTGACTTTCTCAAGGTCACACAGCCCAACACCTCAGCCTTCCCCCAGAGTGCCCGGACACACATGGCCCAGGCACAAACAAGCACCGGGGGATGGCCAGTAGCACCCAGAGAGGTCCCGTGCCTGCCCCACGGTGAGGGGTACCAAGCCCACCCACCCCCTCCTCCCCCGTGGCAGCAGCAGTGTCCCCGATGCCTCACCACAACCGTGATGCCATCCTTCTCCAGCGGGGCCTTGTCGTAGGTCACTTCACACACGCGCACCACTGTGGTGGCCCCATATTTCTTCAGGTCCTGGCGGTGTGGGAGGAGGGAGAAGGGATGGCTGGGGTGGGGCTTATGGGTCGGGACTCCCTGACCAGGGTGCCCAGGGCATGTCCGTGTTCCCTCAGACCCCCAGGGCAGGCCCATGTCCCCTCAAGCCCCAAGGGCAGGGCCATGTCCCCTCGGACCCCCAGGGCAGGGCTATGTCCCCTCTAGCCCCAAAGACAGAGCTGTGCCCCCTCAGGCCTCCAGGGAGGGGCCATGGCCCCTCAGGGGCAGGGCCGAGTCCCCTCAGACCCACAAGGCAGGGCCATGTCTTCTCAGACCCCAGGGCAGGGCCATGTCCCCCTCGAAAAGACAGGCAGGCTCTGATGCGGTGTGACCCGCCAGTGGTGGACTTTCAGGCTCGGTGACTGGTGGCATCTGAGGGTGGAAGAGCCCCTCCTGGTGCTTCTGGGGCACCCATTCCTTGGCCCACCCAGCAGAGGCGAAGATGTCCTCACCCATGTTCACTGGAACCTTCAGCTCAACTGAGACCGCAGCTCCAGCACTCTACCTTCCTCCTCTGTGGTACTCAAGACCTCCGGATCCTACCACAAGGGTCATTTGCCAGACAAGCTACCAGGTCCCCCTAGCAGAGACAGGACCACCCCTAGCCTGCCTGTGAGCCCCTGCATCCAAGCAGCCCTTCTGGCCCAAGGTGCATGGATGGGCCCAGTCCAGGGTGCCTTCAGAGTCTCTGAGGGGCAGGCCTCAGCTGGGGATAGGGCGAGGAGGCGCTCAGAACAGGGAAGATGGGCACCCGCTACCATGGCGGCCAGGAGGAAGCCAGGCTGCACACCAATAGGGAAGTCCCACACTACCAGGAGAAAAGTCACAGTAGTTCACAGCCAGATGGATATTTTTACCCAGGAGCAGAGGGGGCTCCCCATCATGGGTGCCACGTGCAGGGGCTGTTTCCACCCCCACTTGCTCCCAGCCGCTATTTTGGGAGGGATGAGGAATCAGCTGCTGGGTCATGCGACCAGGACACTGGACACAGGGAGGCCAGGACCCAACTATTCTGAGAATGCAAGGAAGCGGGGTGCGGGCTCTGAGGTCATGGGGGTACCTCAGAGTTGCTCTGTGCCCTCAGCAGAGGGAGCTGCCACCCAGCCCAGGACTGAGTTCTACTCCTTATCATGTGCTGAGCCCTCATCACCCGCTGAGCCCTTACCCTGGTTATATACTGAGCCCTGATCCTAGTCACACACACTAAGCCCCAATTCTAATCACACAATGTCCCACAATGAGCCCTGATCCTGGTCACATGCTGAGCCCTGATCTTGGTTACACACTCAGCCCTGATCCTGGTCACATGCTTAGCCCTAATCCTAGTTATATTCTGAGTCCTGACCCTAGTCACAGCGGGCTCACCAGTCTTTCCCCAGGCCCTGTTATTATCTTAAGGGTCTCAGTCATGAGTTGGGGCAGCCATTCTCTGTAGGGTAGCTAGCCTTGGGGTCCAGGCTCCCTGATGGCGAGGTGCCTGCTGCCTCCCACTATACAGTCTGCAATGCCCTCCCATGCCCTGTTTAATTATGACAAGTCCATGGTGGCTTATCTCATGTCACAGAGGGAAGGACTGAGTGTCTGAGGTCATGAATGACTCTTACACACAGCTTCAACCTCTGTCACAGCCTTGCACAGTCGCAGGCTCTAGAAACAGCCCCGTACACAGCTGCAGGCTCTGCACACAGCGGCAGCTCTGTAGAGACCAGGCTACTTAGCCACAGACTCTGCACCCAACACAGGCTCTGCAAACGCATCGGGCCCCAGGAGCTGGGGCTGCCGGTGGCAGATATCTCCCTGCTGGCTGTCCAGGTGCAGTGCTCACACCCTCTGGAGGCCAGCTCTGACTCTTGCACAGAGACCTGAGCCCCGAACACCCAGCCCAGCCTATTCTAACCCAAAAGCCTCACCCAGATCCCGTGGCCTCTTGAGACCTGGGCTGGCCGTGGGGGAGCCAACCCGCACACCTGTCCCTCATCGCCATCTTCAGGCTGCACTGCCAATTAAGCAGCACTTCTCACACCCACCGGGCGCAGCTGCTACAAAGGGGCCAAGGGTCGGCAGGGGCCTGACGACGGCCCCAGCTTTGGTGGCCTCTGATCACTCGGCGCCTGGCCCACCTACCCTCTCACCTCACCACCTGCCTCCCTCCACCCGGAGCCCCTCCTCACACACCAGCTGCTCAGGCCCCAGGGGACCCAGCTGGTGCCTGCCACCCCTCACACCCGAGCCCCCAGGGCAGCTGCGTTCCCCTCCAGGATCCTCTAATGGGGACTGAGTTCTGCTCCAAACTGCATGTGGCCCTGACAGCTGCCGACCCCATCTGGCCAGCCTGGCCTGCCGAGTGTTCTCGGAGCCTGAGGACGGCTCCACCCGGCTTCCCCCTCGACGCCCACCGGCCACCCCAGCCACACTCACCTCGATGAAGCTGCTCAGGGTGGCGTTGGTGGGGTTGTGTGTGATGAGAAAGCGCATGTTCTTGTAGCTCACCTCCACCGGGGCGGGACGGTTCATCCGTGCCATGGTGCTCCCGGGGACAGGAGGGGTGGGGACAGGAAGGGGCCTCGGAGAGGGCTGGGGACAGAGACCCAAGACGCCCCCACCCACCCCCGAAAGACTGAAGACAATGAGATCCCTGTGCTTGTCCAAGAGAGAGAAAAGATGTTCTAAAAACCCGCCCCCCACACCCCGCACAAATATTGTGCAAATACTTGGGAGAGGGGGAGGAAGCTGCCCGGAGCTTGGATAATTAAAAAAGAAACCCCCTCCCCCAAAAGGAAAAAAAATAGCCCCCAAAGTAAAACAGGCCACTGCAAACTCCTGTCTCTCAGAGCCAGACAGTTATAAAGGAGCAGAAATAAAATTAACAACAACCAAGAAAACTCAGCCAGAAAAACTTAAAAAACCCAAAGTGAATCTGGCCACCAGGGCAGTGTCCAGTGCTGGGCTCGTCGCTGGGGACGCCCTCTCTGCATCGGCGTATGGGCGGACAGCCCCCTTTGCTCAAAGGGGGGACCCCGTGCCCCCAAGGACCAAAGGAAAAATGAGCTTGAACTGAGCCAACTCCAGTGGCCTTGGGGTGGGGGTCA